TCTTTGCTAATTTTTTGTCTGCTTGATCTATCTTTTTGGGAAAAGGGAATGTTAAGGTTTCCTGTTAAGATTGTGGTATTGGATATTAGATTTTTCATATCAATTCAGATTTGCTTTATATAGTTGTGTGCTCCCATGTTTGGTTCATACATATTTATGAGTGTTACCTCTTCCTCTTGAATTTTTCCCCTAACCAGTATATAGTGGCCTTCTTTATTTCCCTTGATCATTTTTTTTTGTAAAGTTGAGACTGTCTGAGAATAGAATTGCTACCCCTCCTTTTTTGTGAGGTACTGAGGCATGTTTTATTGTGTTCCATCCTTTGACTTTCAGCCTATGAATGTCTTTATGAGTCAAATGTGTTTCTTGTATACAGCATATTTTTTTATTTTGTTTTGAGCTGAGCTAGTGGAAAAGAATTCCTCTCTGAGTTCCTTTATGACTTTCTGCTGTTGCTTATTTACTATCAACGCTATTAATTCATACATTCAGCTGAGCTAGTGTTCTCTGCACTTGTTCTGGGTGGGCATTGGGTTTCCTCCATATGTTTCTGCATTTGATTCTTTACTGCAGATGTTATTAATTCTGGGATTTCTTTTTTCTTTTCCAATATTAACTTCTCTATACCTTTCTTCAGCTGTTTCTTTATTTCAGAGACCATTGATTTATTTCTTTCAGCTGTGTGATTCCCAATTTGTTCTGTGTTCATGTCCTCTGCACTTGTTATGGGTGGGCTTGGGTTGTGAGATTGCAATTTGCTCCTTCTAGTTGTCATTTTCTGTAGCACTGTCCTCTGACCTTTGCTGTAGATCTTTGTTGCTGTTATAGCCTTAGCACCTACTGAAGTTCAGGTGTAGGTCTACAATGTTTGGATTTATCCAGTTGTGCCTGGCTTAGGTCTGGCTGCTGTGCTCAATTCCTTCCTGTTTCTCCCCTTGGGGGAGAACCTGTTGTGCCCCTCTGGCAAGATGTTCTGCTCCTGAACTAGTTCTGTGGTTCTGTCCCCTACACTCTCTGCAGTGATTGCAGCTGAAGCGTTTCACCCCAGGCCTATATGCCAGTCCTGAGCTGATTCTGGAGGGGACAAGGTGGAGTAGGTGGGAGAGGCAGCTCTCCAACACACTTAATAGGTCTGGACTAGGACTGGATCTGGAGGTTCCCAGAACACGACAGAAATGCTTACTCTGTGGGCGGATACTACGGAGCATTGGGGGGTGCCCCAAGATGGTGAAAGAGGGTGTCACCACACTGCACCTGGGCTGGGACCGGTAGCTCATTCCAGCACAGGGTAGCCAGAAGCTCTCCCACACACTCACAGGGCCTGGGCTAGGACTTGATCTGGATGTTCCTGTAATATGTCAGAAATACTACTTGGCGGGTGGGGTAGGGGAGGTGCTGTGGAGTGGTGGGGGGCTTTCCAAGGGGGTGGAAGAGGGTCTCACTCACGCTGCGCCTAGGCTGGAACCAGTAGGTCCCGCAGGCACAGAGTAGCCAGAAGCCTTCTCACACACTCACCGGGCTGAGGCTAGCAGCTGTATGGTTTGGACTGTAGTCTCATTGCTGGGACTTCAGCTGCAGAGTTTCTGCCCAGGCTTGTATGCCATGCCTGGGCTGGGTCTGCAAGGGTATGGGGGTGTGCTGCAGATTGCAGAAGCTCTCTCACACATTCACCAGGCCTCAGCTTTCACGGGTCTGGAGGGCTCCCACGGGTGTAATGGAAGTTCTCACTCACAGGGCCGGGTTGAGCTGGCTCTGGAGGAGTGAGGGAAGTCTGGAGAATGCAGTGAATGGTCTGTTTCACGCAGTGGGCTTGGGTTTGGTCTGGCAGGTGCAGGACAGCACAGATAGTCTCCCACACACTTGCACAGCCTGGGGTTTGGCGGATCTCAAAAAAATATTGAAAAAAAAAATCAAACTCCTGGATGCTGAATCTTTCAGTCATTCTAGGCAAGATTTATGTTTCCTTCTCAGACATTCAGGAACTTAAGTTTTTGCTAAAACTTGTGCTACATCACTAGGACCTATAGCTATCCAATAGGTAAGTAAAACAACAATAATTCGTCATTATTTTGGATCCTTCATTACCTAATAAATTTGGATATAGGTATGGTAATCATTTAGGAATTGTGGGCAAAGCAATATTTATGAATCCTATAATTGCCTTGTCTATCCCACCCCTCTTCAGGAATGGGGAAAACCCAGTAAGTGTATTTATAGTAGTTTGAAGATTTGTGGGGACATCCAGGTATGGTTGCAGACACTAAGGAATCTGGGGCAGGGGCCGGAACATCAGCAAAAATGGAAGGCTAACTTGGACTACATAGATTGTGCAACATTAGCCTCAAGTTTGTAAAGACCATTTATTAAACCACACTAAGCCAAACCAAACCATACCAGAGCACACCACAAGATTTGTGGGGTGATCCAGGCACCAACTTTTACAACATCCACTTCCAGATCACACTAATCCCAGCTCTAACCCCAGTGCACTGTCTATAATACTCCACCCATTCTCTTAAACTTATAATCATGTGGATTCCAAGAAAAGCAGAATCTCACTGATCACCCCCTCCCCATCAGATCACCCTCCAAAGGAAGGACAGTGTTCTCAAGGTAACCCAATTATTTCTTAAGCTCTAAACACTGCACCAGAACTATTAAGCCCAAAATGAGATAATAATTAGCTGGGTACCAGCCCACCACAGCATCCAAAAAATGGGTCAGGATGAGCTTCTTCATCATGGTGTGTGCACTTCAATGGCTCAGGATGTAATAATTTCCTTATTTCCCCTTAACTTTATTTGTTAAGGGTCAGCTTGCTCTTTCTCAGTTTCCCAGGCTAAAGTAGCTTTCTAGTGTCTTGTCTTGTATTTTGGTCTAGTCTAGAGTACCCTAGTCCACTCTAGTACATTTAATTAGTACATGTGTGCAGCCCATGCTGTTTTCATTCCCTGTGGCAAGTGTGAGCATGTACATGCCACATCTTAATTCATTTTTGCATCCTCATTTCTTTCCTTCCCTCTTTTTTCCACTCATCCATTGTAGCCTCTGTTGAGCATAGACCTTATCTATGGTTTATAAACTTATATAAATTTAGAGTTAAATATATTAGGATATAAGGATAAACAAAATCACTTTATTGTAAAGAGAAGAGAAATAAGGAGATAGGTAGCTTCATTTTTCAAGTAATGTAGGACTCCAAGAACTGGTGCACAAGGATTTCGATCCAGAGTGGAATTCTTCCTTTAGTGTCAATATAACTTGATTGGCTATTTTAGGCTATGAGATCTCTGATTTTGTCACTGTGCCATTGTACTGCTCAGGTTCCTCTTTTTGTATAAGCTTGCTTCATTCTCTGTTTCTGTCAAGGTGGTTATCTTGAGAATTACAACACAGCCTCACTTTCAGGACTGAGTTAGTAAAAAGCATACATGTACATGATAGAATATTATTTTGGTGTGAATGTGATAAAATATATACTCATGTATGGTTGATTATCCATTTCAATGGTCAATGTTGATTGTCTAGGTGTGTCTCCTTTCTATAATATAGCCACCCTCTCCACTTTGTCTTCTGTACTTGACTGGAGGAGGATAGAAGTGAATTGAGGACCTGGCAAAAAAGGAGGTCTGTTTATCAATTCTTCCTTCTTTGCAGAATTGCTCTTTCTAAGAAGGGTAAACGTTTTTGGAGTCAGATTTATCAAAAGCCTCACTAAGGTCCTTACCATTCTCTGCCTGTTCCTCAACCTTCACTACACCTTTGCATTAAACAGTTTTTAGTAACAAATTTGTGTCTCAGTTTTAATTTCCATTATAACTGAAGCAAGAACCCATGCTACTCAGTGACTGTTTTGTTGTTTTGATACTGAGAATTGAACTGAAGACCCTTGAGTTGCTAGACATACTTGTGCTGCTGAGCTATCTACTCAGCAGCACACAATTGTTCACTAAATTATTTATTTATTTTATTTATTTTATTATTTCAATACAAGATCTTTCCAGGGGTAGTTCAGACTTGCCGTGTTTCCCCTTTCTCAGGTTCCTCAGGGGCTAGGATTACATGTGTGCACTACCACACCCAGGTTGGGGGCCTGCACTGTGTGCTCAGGGTGTCAGGGCTGGCACAGCATGTGCTACTTGTGTTCAAACTTTGGTCTTTAAACTTGACAGGTGGGTACTTAGATCACTGAGCTATCTCCCCAGGCCAGTGACACCACTTTGAGTGTTGAAATGTTTTGGCTTGGGGCTGGGGAGATACCTCAGTAGAATAAGTGCTTTCCTGCAAAGCAGAAGGGCCTGAGTTCATCCCTGGTTCTGGGAAAAAAAGAGGAAATGTTTTTGTCTTTGGCGAGTCATTCCTGCACCATTCACAGTGTTTTTTGCTCTGGAAGAAGACATTTGAGGTGAGGCTGTGGTCTTCTAGCTGTGCTTTGAGGAAAGGTTGTTCTGGGGAACTTGATTTAACTTCTTCTTTCCTGACCACTCTGATGAGTAGGCCAAAAGTAGTTAGGGAGCCTCAGAAGTGAAGACCATTGTTGTTTCCCTTGGGTCATAGTAATTTGTCCCTTCTGTGTTATTGCACCATCAACAGTAGGCTCTGATTTTTCCCTAGACTGAGAGAGAACACTGGATGCTATGGAGGTTGGAGGTTTTGGCCCAGGTGAAACAGGATCTTATTTTGTTACATTGCACCCAGGAGGAACAAACTGAGCCTCACTGTTGGTGCAGGATGATAGAGAACACAACACTCAGCAGGTATAATCAGAGTAAGAGGCCCAGTGAGTGTTTACCTCAGTGTCATGATCAATCCCTAGGTGTTCTGGCTGGTGTGAGATGCCCAGCTACAGAACTCCTTAGATGGAACCCTAGAGCCAGTGTGCTGAGCAGAATGAGACTTGGGGATTATGGCTGGGGTTCATGGTAGCACTTTCCTTGAGGACTGTAAGCAAACTTAAAGGAGCATGGAAAAATACTGGAGACCAAAATCTGGAAGACTTGTATCAGCAGTAATATAGTTCAGGTGAAAAGTGGTGAAGAAAGAGAATGACCAAGCACATAAAATAGTGGATGGGCCATATATCAAGAACAAGAGGGAGTATGTGGCATGACAGAGGTGGGGGGTGTCTTAACACAACTTTTAAAGATGATCATTTCAGAATCCATTCACTGTATTTAACAAATGTCTTTGAGCCTGTGCTTATAGTGGCAGCAAACGCAAGCATGCACCTATGCCGATGGGTGTTTTACCACACAAAGTAACAGGAATGTTTTATTTTACATAGGAATCTGGGTGTGGGAATACTATGAGCAGAACTCTTCATTAACTAATTGCAGTAAAGGAAATCTTTAAAGAATACATGTAGTGCTGCTCCTCTAAGAGGCTTTCAGCCAAGACCACATGTGATTTTGATTGCATGTAATAACTAACAAATAAATATATTGTTATTTGTATTTATAACCAGTTACAACAACCAAGAACATATGTTCTTTTCACAGTGTTCTCTGGGCAGAGATGAACACTCCCAAGGCATTCATACTCCTGTGTTTATCTATATCAGGTGGGAAGGTTCTGGCGTTGTTCCATGGGCAGACACCAGGGTCTGTAGGTCAGCAGGAGTCTCATCCAGTTCTGATGAATATTCTCAGAGATGCTGTCGTCACACCTGGCCTACTGGCCTGTGAAAGCCAAGGGAAACTGACTGACTATCTGTGAGGCATCCTGGGCATGGATGGATATTCTTCACACTGGCATCTTCTAACTTAAGCTATTGGTTACTCACATGGCAACTTTTGTAGGAGAAGAAATGGATGCCCTCAGGAAAGTCACACAGAGACAGAACTGCAAGGTACATACTCACACCCCAGCTTCTGAGGAGTCAGAGGCTCCCCAACTGTCTGCTACCCCTTGCCAGAGATCTATGATCAGATGAGGATGGACCTCCATCAGGGCTTCATAAAGTTTGTCTTTGCAGACTGAGTTCCAAGATGGGCTGAAACTGAAGAGCTTCCGCATCTGGTCTGGTTTGGTGGCCTCAGCCCGCACTCTGGCATACTGTTCACCACTCACCACTCGTCCACTCAACAGCTTGTCTAATACAGCATCTACAGAAGTTACTCGGGTCACCAGCTGATGCAGATGCTTGTCCACAAAGTGCTGTAAGCCTGGGGCATTTGGAGTGGAAGGTGAGGCTGCAATGAACAAAGAAAGGTTTCCATTATGGGCCCCACCTCTGACTCCCTGCATCTCTATCTTGACCACGTCTGCAACTTTGACTTCCTATTCTCTCTGGAAAGATATTTAACCCCAAGAAAGCCTTAATGATTTTACTCATGGTAGCGCAGAGTCTGATGCTGAGGGGAGGGGTCCATGGTTGCACCTTGAAAAATTGTATGGGGTGCTGGCTTCATGTGGGTGGGGGTAAGGGCCATGAGGATGCTCAGTATTTTGTCACTGAGTATGTACTTCTCCAACCCAACCTCTTTGAGGTTTGCAGTGAGTAAGCCTCCTGTCTCTTTTCTTCCTTCTGGGACTAGACAGAATGTCCCAGGAATGCCACTGTCACCTGTGACTATGACAACTGTTACTGACCTTTGACAGGTGGAGGCAACAGAAAAGCTATAGGTCTCAGGTCTCCTGGAGGAAAAGAGAGAGAGAAAGACACATCAGTAAGAGTGATAGCTATAAGCATATCTGACATGCCTTGAAACTCCTCCCAACTTCTGATTTTCTTAGATGTGAGGACAAGCAACAAACTATGAGGCTATGTAATTTGGTTTGGAAGCCACTCAGAATTTATCTAGATAAATAACATATGTACATGGGGAAATTGATGCACAGAGCCTATGATCACAAACAAGAAATAAAGGCCAATATGTAAGAAAGCCTTAACAATTTCTCACACAGCTCCTGAGACTCACAATTTTTCTCCCTTGTTCTGAACTCAGTCATGGTGATAAAGTAACAAAATCTCTTGTGAGACAATTCAAATTATTCCACATCTTATTCCAAGCAGAACTGACTACTTTGTCCTTTTTGGTTCTTCTATCCTCACAGAACAACTATGCACATTCTGCATTTGGATGTCAGAATCAAGATCGAGAAGCTCTTAGGATGTGGGAAATAATAAGTGAATTTTAATAAAAATATCAAAGATAGCAACAATGAGGATAACAACAATGGTGATAACAAGAAATATGCTGGTTAAGGAATTTTTCACATAGGAAAGGAAGTTTCACAGCACTGATGTGAACAAGGACTGAAAATGTGAGCAGATTACATTTGCTGTGCCCTAATCATAGTACCCAGAGAAGGAACAAGCACCCAGGTGGTGTTACTGTCACCATGAGATATATTTGGATGTAGTGAGCATGTGGTCTTTATGCATAATTTTACAAACAAGATTTTGATTCCATACTGACTGAAATGTAATTAGAGACCTAGTGAGAAAAGATATTTTTATCATTAGTAAATTGTTTCATTACACACACAACATGCGTGTGTGCATACGTGCGCATGCATGTGTGCACACACACACAGAAATCACCTACATTATACAGGTTCTGAGGATTTTGCATTCAAATTTTGGACTCGAACTCCTTGATTTACCTGGTTTCAACAAGGCCTCCCATATAACTGTCTCATCTTTCTTGTGTCTCATTTCCAGCAGGATTCCAGACCCAAAATATCCAACATATATCTCAGAGAAGAGCTGAGGTTGTCTGGGGCTTCGATAGCAGAGCTCTAGTTCCTGAAGAACAAAAGTGACACTATGTGAGATGTTGCCATTTATATTCAAGTGAGGCCTTCCTGATGTACTTTTCCCCAACCCCCATGAATATGTTCTTGGGCCTGCTTAAACTCATCTGGGCTCTGAATGTTTCAGGTGACCAACTTCAGATTTCCAAATGAACTGAAAGTATAATGATGTATTGAGTACGTCAGAGATATGTCAAGGTTTATCCTAAAAGCAGTGCTGTTTTTCTTTCCATCATCTGTATCCCATGGCTTCCAATGCCCAATCTTGAATTCAGTTTCTCTTTTCTCTAGCCCAATATTTCTGGTTCTTAAGCTCAGCCTCTTTTCAATAAGCAGAAAATTTATATTTATCTCTTTTTCCAAATAAAATCCAAGACAGAGTTCTCTCTGACCATGTTCCTGTCCATTTTCTTCAAAGTTATTAAATGATCACTCAGATTCCAAATTTAGGTACCATGTTATCTCCTATCTCTCTCCATATTCAGTCAATTCACCAAGTGCCAGTGTCTCTACAATAGCCTTCAAGACATCTTACACAGACTAATATGCCTTTTGATTTTCAGAATCATTTTGTTTCAGCTGTGGAACCACCAGTTTTTCTTCATTTTCATTTCTAGTGTCCTGGTCATGCCACCATGAAGTTTCATCTGTAGTACTGCAATAGTCTTTGGATTTACTCTCCATCTCCATTTTTGCATGCTTATCATCCATTCATGTCCTATAGCTAGGGGCATCTTTAAGAAAGCAAGTCAGGTCTTGTATTACCACATAAAAGGTACTACAAGGGCTTGCCAGTGATCTTGGAAAAATTTTAAACTCCACTTCAAAGTCTACTGGCTGGAGGGAACGCAGAGAGAGATTCTGCATTAACCCCATCTTTTGGTGCCTACGCCAGTCTCTGCCACAGTGAACTCTTTTTTGTCAGCTGGTGATGCTCAGTTTGTGCTCACATCAATGACTACATACATCCTTCTGCCTGAAACACTGTGCTGCAGACCTGCACATGCCAGAGGCAGTGTGGTCTGTGAGGCCTCAATTCAGGTGACATCTTGTCAGAAATATGATGACTGACTACATAGTCAGTAGAATCTGGAGACACTCTCATGATGCTCTATTTGCTTCACAGAACTTGCTATCAGTATGCTTACTCACTCTTAATTATTTAAAGATTTCTCATCTGCAAGGAATTAAAATTCCAGCAGGAGCTGTCTTAAGATCTGTGAGGTCCAATCAACTACCTCTACTGAGGTAGATACCCCCCATTGGGTTAATAATTATAAAAAATATAATCCCATCTTTTTGTGGTGCTTTTTAGAAATTGATATGGCAAAAAATACCAAAATATTTATTCTTTGATCCATGTTTCTCAATGGAATAAATCAGTATGAGCTCCTTTTGGTTCCTGGACATATGGTCCATCTGGAGACTTTAAAAAGACCATGAGAATACTTCAGGGGTGGCAGCATCTGACTGAGGGTCATAACAAGTCATTTTTTTCTGATTCCTTATCACCTTTTCCCATTCTGTTGCTTTACTACTAACTTCCATCTGTCTTCCTCCCTTGACATCTTTGGAAACACAATTATGTGGTCTCATCTTTTCCTTATTGGTTTATTTTCCTTTTACTATTTAAAGCAAAGGAAAACTCTCTAGTATAGTCTCTCTTCACTGTAGCTACTTCCCTGAGGCTAACTGACTGTCAGATGTATCATCCTCTAACTCCCTTGCATATTAAAATCTAAATTTTTGTCTCAGAATTTTCATTCTTCCCAATATTATTCTTGTACTTATTACTTGATGAAAATGTGGCCATTTGTGACTAAAAGGAGAAAAAGTAGACTATCAGTCTTTCTTAAGAATTTCCAGCAGAATTGTACATTTTCAAGTCTGGCCCTCTGTTCCAGACCTATTACAAATTCTAGTAATAGTCATTTTGTTTTTATAGTCACCTATGTTATTATTGTCTGGTGCATCCTTCCTGAGCCTTCAATCCTGCTGCATTATCATTATCCCAGCCAGATGACTGAAGCATTCATCTCACACTCATCTAATTATGGTTAAAATACATATTACCCTTCATGTGTGCTTCTTTAATCCAGAGCAGCAAATATGAGCCTTGATGACATTCAGACATTGTGGATTAATGCCCAGTGGCTCATCCTTTTTGACCCTTTCAAAAGTGAGAAATACTGAAAGAGACACAAAATTATGCTCTTGTGTCCCAAAATGGAAGTGAATGTCATCGGTAGATATCAGGGCCATTACAAAGTGATCTGAGATGTGCAGCTAAGTCCTGTTGTAATTTCTGGACCATGCCTAGGACATCTACTTCAGACACTCTATTAGGCATCTGCAAAATGTTACACATATTCCACCATGGTGTCTCAAAGAGTAACTGTTTTACTCTTGTTGCATAGATCTTGCTTTACCTTGGTCTTAAGGATGGAGCAGAAAAGTATAAAAACGAAATACAAGAAGTAAAGCCATGCTGTTATGTTGAGCTGTAGGTGACTCAGGTCAACAATTTCTGACACTGCCAGTCAAGTGGAAGACCCAATACTATTATGGATTATTGGACTCTTTTAGAATATTTTGCTGAGTTAACACAGCTATAATATTCAAATGACGGAACTAAACAAAAAAGGGGATATATAAATGAATGTCCATTTTGTATCTGTGTATTCAAAATGATTAAGATAGATATATAGTTACATTCTCTTGATGAATAGAGGGATTGTTGTAATAGTGTTTGTAAATAGGGTATCATGTCTGCATCTTGTACAGCAAATAACCGCTAGGAAGACAGTATGCAATGTGTTACTTGTTGGAACTATCCTACCATTTTGATTTGAAACCATCTCATTGCTATTTGTCTGTCAATAAAATTATGGAAAAAAATAAAAAATAAAAAATATAATTAAAACAGTAACTGTTTTATCTTAAAAATTATAGCTCTATGCCTGCTTAGTCTACTCTCCCTAGAGATAAGATTTTCTGGGTTTCTCAACAATCATACAATTGTCCCTGTTGTCTTTCTGACTATTAATTCTCCATTCATGATTTTTTGAAATACAGTCTTATCATGTAGATTAGGCAAGCCTTGACCTCACTATATCCTCAGGGTGACCTCATTTTACAGAATGACCTTGACTTCCTCTTAGTCCTCCTACCTCATCCTACTAAACGCTGGAATTTCATGCATGTACCACCATACCTGGTTATCCCTGATTTCTAAAAATACCTAATCTACAGCTAATCTATTTTCTTATAACTTTCCTGAAGTTATGCAAATAAAACCTAAGTTCTACACAAGTTTCTTTCTAACATGACAACCCAAGATTCCATATTGTGTAACATTTGGTGTAATGTGTGTTAAAAGTCCAATGTGTTGCACTACAGGTATGTTTTTGTGCAATTTAACAGGAAGTTACTAACACCTTATAGAGCAAATGCTTTGCAGTTCTTCCCCATTATTCTTTCTCATTCTTAATGTAATCTTTCCTCTCTCTAACTTCCTTTGTTCCTACCTTTGAAGTTTTCCTGCTCACTCTGATCCAAGTTGTTTTCTATACCTCCCCAATTTTTCCAGCCCTTGAGAATCAACTGAGAACTGACCCCAAAATTTTTTGAAGAATTCCTTCTGACTTCAAGCTAGGTTGGATACACTGTTGCTCACCTTGGGTACGATCTCCAGCTCTCCTGAGCCAGACACAATGTAGCGGGATCCCACATAAAGGTCGCTTGTTGGGGGTGGCTTGTGTATTCGCTCGAACTGGAACCTATTTTCTTCATCATCTATGGCCTATGGGACATAGAGAATATGTACTGAGGAAGGCATTGCCTTTGCAATCAGATCTGATAAGCTTTGTTGATGCGTCAATGTGTCAAAATGTTTGTGTTGGTGAAGGCGAGCTACATCACCTCTGCACCCATTTCCCCCGTTATTTGGCTACATAAAAATTTCTAAATGTCCCACTGCTATGTACAGGGTGGAAACAGGTTCACTGGAAGGGAAGAAAAGAAAAAAAATGCTAGAAATCTACAGTTTTTGGCATGCAGTCTCTCATCCTTTTAACTTCTAGATACAGGCTATACAAGGTTGTCTAGTGAGTGCAGTTCAGTGTGCCAGAGTTGTGACATGGTTGCTCTGTGCATGACCACAGGACATAAAATTACACCTAAATTGAGGTTACCAAATTTTATTTCCAGTTGAGGATCTGTTGAGATACTTCCCTGTATGCATTTCATAAGTACTGGTTTATAGAGTTACCTGCCGTATGGTGCAGTCGCTGGGGACCAGGTAGAGATGGAGTTTGACTTCCTCAGAATGGATGTGATGGTACAGCAGTGTGGTACAGGTGATGGGGATGAGTCTCCGAGCAGCAGGAATTATTTTCAATAGAACTCCCACTGGAGAGAAGGTGGGGTTTTGCAGGACTATGTAATGTGCCTCCACTCTGGATGGCGTCTGAATAAGCATCCCCTCCTCTTTAAAGTGGGCCACGTGGAACAGAGATCTGTCCACATGTTCTCCTGTGAAAAATCAGATAGGAGAGATATGAATTTAGTGCTTTCAGTGAGTCAAGCTTGGCTGAGCAGTACAACCTCAGGGCTTAGTCTGTAGACATCCCTGTGGGAACCCAGGGTAATGGTGTGAATACTTATGTCCTTCAAAATTTGTACATTGAATTCTTCCCACCAGGTGAAAGCAACCAATAAGAAACCAAACAATCTTATGAAAGCATGCAAAAGACCTTCTTCTTCCCTAGGAGGGTACAGCTAGAAGATATTATCTGCTAGGAAGTGGGTTCTTGCCAAAAGTTGAATGTAGAGTCACCTTGATCATGGACTTTAGAGGCAGCAGTAGTATGAAAACTAAATTACTTATGTATAGGCTACTTTGTGTATAGTATTTTATTATAGCTATTATGGTTTGTGTCTAATTGTTACCCCTAAGCCAAATGCAGTCACTGGGGTGGCTTCTAGAATTTGTGATTAATTCATGATCCAATGTGGGGATTTTGGATGTGAGTCCTACACATGCCCTGGTGAGGGTGATCTGCATAAAATATAAGGAGGGGAGAAAGGCTTGCTGGTTGCTGCTGCTCCTCCTTTTGCTCTTTGCTGTTTTCCACTGCCATGAATGTCCACCCTCTGCCATGTGCCAGTTTGCTTTGGACCCACCCAAGTATGGAATAAAATCTCCACTAACTGAGCTATATAAACATTTACTACTTTAGTTTTGGGTGTTGGGTATTTTGTCCCAGCAATGAGAAAAATGTAACTGAGAAAATAATAAATAAAATGAGCTGAGA